GTAGTGGTGAGATGTTGGGCTACCAAAACGAGGGAGTAACGCGGTTGGCTTCATCTGTTACATTGCACTGATACTTGAGTAGTATAAATCGAGAGATGCTGCCTCCCGCTCTTGCGTATAGCGAATCGCGTAAGAGACAAGCACCTCAGGCCCATCTTCTCTGCCACCTCATCGCTCATTATCTTCTCTATATACCTTGTACCTGGGTAACAATCGTCTCTGATATGTCTTTCACACGCGTCGTCCTCAAAGAAGCCGAGTCGAAACAGACTCAATATTCGAAAACGTGGATCACGGCCTCAGGCAGCTTAATGGTGAGAGACACTGGACCTCTATCCTCTTGATATAACTGCCTCTTTAGCTGGATCGTCTTGATGATGCATGGCTGGTCAGCCTTTTTGGCGGCCTCGACAAGCTGACGGTAGATCTCATTTGCCACAATCTTGTACCGTTCGTCTCCGATAACAACCTCATGGGCATGACGGAAATTGGGTTCTTGACCGAGCGTGCGATACACGAACGTGACCGTCTCGAGCCTGACCAATTTGACCAGTTGTTTGGCGATAGCGGCCACCTTCTGACGAAATGCCTCGGTAATTTTTCCTTTCTCCAAGACACGTTGAATCGCTGAACAACGCATGCCAAACTCTCGGACCGCTGGACATAGAACCACGATCTCGCTAAGCAAATCGATATGGATATCTTTGTTGCCGTCACTGAACTCAAGAACGGTCAGGTGAGACATGTCATGCAGCATGCGGACAGGGTTCAATTCCCAATATGTAGCCGTGGCGATGCTGAGCTCCTCAATTTCAGTTGAGTCGCGGACGAACTCGGTGAGATAAGTATGATCCTTCTCATGGATCATGTCTTCATCGTCGAGTGAACGAAAGATGAGGCGCTGGACTTGTGGCGGATCATCGGCACCCATACAACCTTCGAAGAATTTGTGGACATTCTGACAGTCCGTCAAAGTGATATCCTTGATGCTGAGCATATCTAGATCTTCCCACTTGTTACGCAGTCGGCCGTATGGACAATGCTTGAAATTGATGGTATCGTAGCTGATCTTCGGCACAGATGCGGGCTTGTCGATACTTCCAACCCCGACATCGCTCATGAGATATCCAACGTCAGTATAGGTATCAGCATTGTCGTGGCTGATGCTGGCTGATGAGAGACGAGGCTTGTCATCCTCACATAGACGAGCCACTTTCAGAACGAAATCCTTGACGACAGGCGTGTAGGTCCCCCATGCGGCTTCTCTGTACACGTCACCAAGCCTGTTCGTCCGTCCGTTGATCTTAATGGTGAGCACGCCGTCAGGTCTATGCTCGGAAACCGGCGTCTGGATTTCGAAAGCCGCCGAACAATTCGTTGTACGCCGCGGTCGACCATCTTGATAGATTTCGATGGGCAAGAATTCTTCCAGGGGGTTGACAATGTCTCGTTTCGGTGAGGTGCGGGGAAAGTGTATGGTCCGAAGAGTCGTACTAAGCGTCGAACTTTCCGAGGTCAATACTGTCTTGAGGAACTTCCAGCTGGCCAAGTCTAGCGCGGATTTGTCGCAGAATGTGAGTATGTGCAGCTTAGACATACGGATTCCATAGTGGCAGAGTTGGCGGAAGTTCGTAGCTACAAGCCGTTTAGATCTCGCTGAGAGGTCAAATCGCAGTTTGAGAGTCATGGTGTAATTCTGCAGAAATTGCCCATGTATGAGCTTAGCGTCGATAGGTCTCATCTTGGCCAGCTCAAAAGATGCATCCTTCCAGAGAAAAGGCCGGACGGTTTCGAGAAACCCCTTGCTCGTCTTCACCAGATGTAGCAACGCAGTCGCATCGAGCTATTCGGTAGGTTAGCATTTGTCGGTCCACGGCGACCGCCATTTACCTGTTGGGACGAGGCGGCAGGGGACTTACTCGGAGCAATACATCCTCGAATAGCTCCGGGGGCAAGCTGGCGAGCTGGCAAGGGTGAATATCAGCCATGCTCGTGAATTCGGAGATGCAAGGTAAAGTCCAGGTAATAGAGTCTCAGTGTGCTACTGACGCGGCTCCAAGTGTCGCTCAGGTAAAGAATCTCGGGGCCCAGGCGCTCAGACTTACCAGGCTAGTAAACAAGGTCACCTGGGCAATTCTGCGGTCACCCACCTTGAGTTCTCTCTTTACTTGTATTTTGTTTGTAAAAGCGCCAAGAGGCCACTCACCTTCACCCTCCTTCGTACTCATTGGCTCACTCACTCTCACTTTGCCTCGGATACACTAGACTGAGGCGCACTCTCACTTTGCTGCCTGGAATATATGCCCTGAGGACGTCATAGGAACGGGCTCGTGCGCCTGCCACTGGACATATATTGTGCCCGCCCAGCTACTTCTTTCTCCTAACCCACCCACACGCCTAACTACCGCCGCCGACGGTCTCTTTAGAGCAACGAACCTTCAACAGCTTCGGAAGTATCTTACACGCCTGGTACTGCTCGATGACCTTGGTATTGGACTCTTGACGACGGCAGTTTAGCGCCGTGGTTTCTTCCTTTCTCTTATCCGCAACCCCATCCTATCGCTGCCGAGAGTCTTCGTAGGGTGATCCTTTCACGCCACTCGGCCGTTTAAATGGGCACTTCAACAGTGCTAGGGAGAATTCTTTCCGGTTCTGAGGCGGGGGTTAGCTCCTGCTGTTTGACCAGCCGGGTCAAAAGCTATTCTCTACTACCGTCTTGAGGTGGGGGTCTCTTGTCAGCGATAGTATGGTGTTGCGTCCTCTCTTCCTTGGTTCGCACTGAAGACATCCATACTTGCCAGGTAGAACAGACCGTTCTACTCTTATCTACCGGCGAGGTGTCCAGGTGCGAGCTAAGGATCGATAGGTCCCTTGCTCACGATCATCTCCGCCAACTCCAGGTATGTTGTCCCTACTAATTAGTGGGCGAGAACCAGGTTCCTTCGGCGTGAGCAACGGATCTCGGCGGAAGTCCCCGCGGGGGGCTACAATTTTTCTTTTCATTGACATGATCACCTTGCGTGGTCAGTTGAGGAAGAGAGTCGTGGTGGGCCTCGGCTGTATGCGTAGTTGCTCGTTTGGAGATATGTAGCCTGCATATCCAGATACTGACTTTAGTTCGCTTATCGGGACATCTTTCCTGGAAAATCTCAATGTCTGACAGATGGGTGTCTGGAGAAGAGACGGGACATCGCGTACCTACCTAGGTAGCTTCCAGCCCCGGATTTTGGGCGGCAATCGCACCCGCCAAGCTTCCAAGCTTCGCCACCCCCATCAAGCTCGAGAACCACTGTCGCGACCAACGTCTGCCATAATCTACCTCACCTCCAAGCCGATTCTACAGCATCTCAGGTCGAGACCCCTAATGTCGACCTCTCGTGTCCCGTTGGACATCAAAGCTATCGCAATCATACCGTATACCAAAGTACAATCTCAAAGACCAAGCCCAACCTAGAACCAGACCGCAGTCTGAGTCAAAGGCGCACTCTATTCTTTCTTTCTGTGTCCCGTTGGAACGGCTGAACATGATCCAAACCCCCCCCTAATCAGTAATGCAGCGATGTTCACACTGAGAACATCACCGTCGAAGTACCACGTAGGGAGTCGCCGGTGAATGAATACGGATATGTATAACTCAACCTGCTGATTGTTTTGCATGTGGCAACTGTTGAGAGGAAGAGGACTTCTACGCAGAGTTGAGACACGCTGTGGTATCCAAAGAGCGTCGGCTTATCGCGAGGAACGTCAAAGATACCATGCGTTGATGAGTATGAAGATAAGAAGAATCAATTTGCGTACTGGTACAAGAAGGCAAAGCTCAAACAATGAAAAGACACCTTGACTACTACACCCGTCGCCAGAACAGTCCAGTCAACCGCAACGGACTCCTTCCTTCGCGAAAAGAATCAGATAGTCCCGCACTGACACCCGGGAAGCACAAGACATTGTGAATCCTTATCTCCTCAAACCCACACCCTCACTACGTCGACCTTTGAACAGGTGGGATTTTGCGGCTCGCCCACAAAACCTATCTTCCATGCCAGCGACCGCAACGTAGAGCCATGCCTCATAGTACACATATACCAATTCTTGACCTTCTTCGGTGGATCAAACCAATCAGGGGCCTTGCCAGTATCATCTTCGGCGATTGCAATGTACATGCTAGCGCTGCCCTCTTCGAAGCACACCAGTTGGTATGTGTCGGTCCCGGGCGTGAAAACCATGTTCACGAGATTCGTCCCAACAACAAACTCGAAGTGCATTGCGGACGAGTCGGCATCTTCGCGACCCCAAAGACTCAAGGGCCAGTTGAGGATACCCTGGGTGTCGTCGTAGGAGGATACGTTGTGGTAGAAGGTAGTGTAGGGACGTGCAGGGGTGGCGGTCGTATCGTCGGTTAGGCATAGGCCTTCGTAGGCTGCGGACCAATGGCAGGCTCCGAGTGCGTGGCTGCTATCTGTCAGGATGAGGAAAAGAGCTGAAGGGTGGTGGTATGTACTCATTGAGGTCATCGTCGGTTGACTTGAGGATAAGACGGAAGCCGCTGGACTGCTGGTCGAATAAACTCTGGGCGATCGTGACCGTCTGGGCTAGCAGAGTTGCGAGAGCTAAGGTAAAGAACTTCATGGCGTGCTAAGCTTGTGGATGCTGGAAGGATGTGTTCGGATTTGATCAACAAGCTTGTGGGTGTTGATGATGGAATGCAGAAAAGGAACAGAAAACGGAGGCACGGTGCAGCTTTTGTACGGCATTGATGACGGGTACTTTCACAGAAAGAGCGGACATAGATCGTAGGAGCTATGCGAACTTGAGGAAGTGGCTTTTACACAATATGTTTGTATGGCAGGAATTAACGTTGCAATTCCTTACCCTTCTACGTCAATCAAGAAAAAGGATAAATAGGCACGCAGCCTACATAAACATAGAAGCATACAAAACAGTTAGACTAGCTTTAATGTAGGCTCTAGACCTGTTTAGTTTTTTTCCTTGTGTAAGGTGCTTCAAGTGTCTTTCGTAAACTCCGAATGCTGCCGCCACTTCTCCCCAAACTTGAAGATGCATAACGGGATGATGACCAAACACAAGCTCAGTACGCCCAAAAGAGTGAAGCCCAGCCCATAACCAAGTGCGTCAGACAATGGACCAGTCGTGAGTGGCAGGAAGGTGCCCATAAGGCATCGCGTGACGATGACGCCCGTCATAGCCGATGCGGAGTACATACCGCAAGCGTCAACGACGTAAGCAGATAACGGTATAACAGTCAGAAGGAGCGAGAACCCCATCAGGGCCACCGAGGCGAGAAGCAAGAGTACAGGCAGACGGTATTCTGCGATCCAGCCGTATGCAATTACCGAGAAAGGCAAGAGGATCGCACCCAGGATAGAAAGAGGAAGGCGGTACTCAGGTTTTCCTTTTCCGCCGTCGGGCCCGCGAAGCTTGACGTATATCCTATCGAGCGTAAAGTTGCATACTAGTACACTGCAGAAAGACCCGACGCCTGGATATCTGTTAGCTGCCGTGAGTTCAGGCATATCAAGATACTTACTGAACGAGATGAAAGTGTAACCAATCTGGCCGAACTCGAAGTCATACCTGTCCAGCAAGATCGAGGGTAATGAAACGCTGACAACGTAAAAGAAGCTGAACGCGACCGAGGCAAACAGCGAGAGAAGCATAAGTACGCTCGAACCGAACAATACCGCAAAAGGCCTCGTGATAGAGTGCCAGAGCTTTGCTAGATACTCATGTGTGCTCTTCGACTCCGGAACCTTTCCAGTTTCCTGCATCGTCTTCGCTGCTCTTCTTCTCAAGACAGCCATCTTGTACGTCTCTCTGAAGTAGACGAGGAACAGAACTTCGCACACGATAGCTAGTCCGGCGGCGATGGTCAACATGCGTCGCCACCCTATCGTCTCTGCGATAGCGCCAGAGATGGCAGGGCCGATAGCTCCTCCAATAAGCGGCGCAAGCATAACCAAAGACATTGCGGAGCCGCGTTGCTCGCTCTCGAAGATATCTCCGATAATGGCCGGGTTGAGGACGTTTGAAGCGACGCAAAGACCTGTGAGCATCCTCGCTGCAATGAACATGCCGCTGTTCTGGCTGCAAACTGCTAGGATAGTCGCAGCGATGAAGCCGATGTTACAAACGTTGAAAACAGGATAGCGTCCAAAAATCTCGGATAACGGTGCGATAAGTAATGGTCCAGCGGCTTCTCCAAGTTCCCAGATAGTCACGAGGAGCGCGCTGTTTGCAGAGCTCGATTGCTTCCCATCGAGATCCGAGACGATCTTGCTGGCGACCGGTACCACGCCAATGCAAGTAAAGGTTCTGTAGACATGGTCAGCGTCGAAGTTCTTTTGACAATTGGAGCGCTGGGAGAATATGCATACACAGTGAACGCCATAAGAGCGAGTAATAAAACGATACCCCATTTGAAACCTGGCGACCAATTGCGAGGGTCCTCAGGGTCCAGAGGCTCAAAATCAAGCGCGTCATTTCCAGCTTCCTCGGCATCATTCTCTTGTTGGACGCTTTCGTAGTCATGCGATATTATCCTGAGCAGAGGTTGCTCTTCGTCCGTGAGCACCATTGTAGCTTTTGTTACACGGAAGGATTCCTCTAAAAATATTCAAGATGGGATGATTGCGAAACACCGAGGTTTACAGGGCCCAGGAACTTTTTCATGGGACGAGCGCGGCGGATTGTGACTAATGAACGCCCTAGGGCGTGTTTGGGTATGGGGTAATCTTTAGCGTCGCTCAACTGCGGTGGTGAGAAACTGGCATCTGTTGAGCCGTCAAAGTCCGTGCAGCATGCATGCTTCCAGCCTCGTATGCAAAGTAAGATGATTGGTCGGTGTAGCATCGTTCCGATGTTCGATCTGTATTGAAACAATATTTACTCGTCTTTACTATTCATCCACGGCTGTTCTCAATCCGCTGTGTTGCACGCCACCTTATACAGGTGCGCTAAAGTCTACATTATAACAAAAACTTAAGTTTCAAAAAGTCTTAAGGCATTGTAGCCTTATAGCCATTCTTCTCACTTGCGAAGAGCTAGACAAGCAAGTCTTCTGTGATGTTCGTTCAGACTGTTCGTCTGAGAAAACACCCTCTTGCGACCACCACAGGTCAGCCTGGCAGTTCGTGCAGCATCCCGCTTTGGCTTGCACGCAACCTCTGAAGCTTGACGCCTATCCAATTCTCTCTTGTTCCCAAAGAGTTTTCACACTCGTTACAGGGGTACTGTGCAGAATCCTTTGCTTCCTTGTCCCTTCCACGTCGGTACTTCCGGATGTGTTCGACAACAAGCACCAGTGTCTGAGCAAACCCTAGATACGCTTGCATATCGAGCTATTCCGGTAACGTCAACCTGGGACAAACTGAACAGGCCGCAACCTACGTTTTTGTGGTTACAGCCTACATCAACATAAAAACGTGCAAAGTGGGTAGCCTGACGTCAATGTAGGCTCTAGGCATGTTCGGCTTTTTTCTTTGTATGGTATTGTATCTGTCTGGCTATCGCATCCCGTTTCAGCCATAGTTTGCTCACGGCCCGTAGCCGGCAAAAGAATCATGTGTACCGTGTACTTCACTACATGTCACCATGTCGTCGTGAGCCTCGCGGATATGCGCCGATGGCGAACATCATGGACAAGATGTCGATTGGTTCCAGATCCCGAGCCACCTGAAACCACAGCTCCATGGGCATCCGATTGAGACCTTGCGGTAGGGGTCGTCTTCTGTTGCTTGTATTCGAGGTCCTATCCACACGTACTATGCTGAAGTAGGTGTGCGCACTAAGCTCCGGGGCGATCCGATGCCGCTGCAGGGTAGGATAGATGGCTAGAGCAAGGTTCATGATATTACCGACACCGGCGTACTCGATCATCATGAGGAGGAGTTCAGCAGGAAGGAGATTGAACAATCTATCGCATCTGTCATCAGACGGTGGCTTGTGCGGTGGCGGCGGCGGCGGAGGAGGAGGCGGAGGAGGGGCTGCAGACATTGTTGCAGCTGCTCAATCGGTGTGCGGTTTGCTGGGTGACTCGGCAGCGACGGAAAGAAGCCAGCGGTAGATGTAGCCGGAGAGGAACCAGGCTCCTATAGCGACTGCGGTAATGTATATCGCGATTGGGCCAAGTGATTGCGGGAAGATGTTCAGTATGAAGGGATCGAGTACTATGGTTGTTAGACGACGCACGTCATATTGGTGGGATTAGACGTACTGATGTCGGCATCAACTGGAGGCGGGTAGTCCATCAATGTGCGATTGGTCGAATAGTAGGACGCTGCAGCCTGGAGGCGCAAGAACAGTACCGACTCTGGGGCTGCAGACGGCGCTTCCTTGGTGTTTCCGTCGTCGTCCACTGGGTCGCGTCTAATGACGGAGCTATACTCTGATAACGAGGATATCAACTCGGGAGTATCAAATACGTGGGTGACTGAGTAAGTGTCAAGCCAGAAGTCGGTGGGTTGCTGGGCATGTCAGTACAAATAATCAGGCGAGACGATGCAGGCGATATGCAACGGGAAGGAGCAGTAGACTCACGGTGGCCGGCCAGCAGATGCGCACCTCGTACCTCCTGCCGTCTTGCAGGCCGCGAAGCAGGTACCAGGACTCGAGACCGCGGGGCAGCGACTCGGTGGGAAACTGGACAGGGACTCGGATCGGGAGGATGGTGGACGAGGGCGACAGGTAGTGCAGGCCGAGGTCATCTAGCCCGGGGCGGACATTGGAGAGAGTCAAAGGGCTGGGACCAAGGAATATCGTCTTCTCGACGTTGGCATTCACCGTCCAGGCCTGTGTGACGATGCAGAGCAGCCCGGCGGAGAGGCGCATCTTTGGCGGACAGCACGTGAGGATGGGGGAGAGTTGGGAGGGCAGCAATTCATGGTCTCTCACGTCGGCCAGCGCAGCGCCATGGGCAGGCAGAGGAACGGCAGGCTTGAATTCGTGCGATGAGGTCGTGTTTCTCGCGCAACGGCCAGGCAGCTGCATTGGACGTGTAGCTTAGCGCCGTGGTCCGTGATAGGCGGACCCTTTTGGCCTAAAAGTTCGATTCCACAACACAACAGCACTTCTCCCCCACTGCTCCACTCCCACCGCCAGCAGCTTCAACCCTCGCCGCCCAGGTTCCCCCGAGACTCCATTTCGATACCCCAATTACTACCTTTCCTCGAAGCCACCATGAGAGAAGTCATCAGTCTGAACGGTATGTCGTCCCTTGCGCCATGCGCGCCCTGACCGCCTGCAGCGGGACATCCCTGGCTATTTGTTGATGCTGACTTTGTACGCGTCCAGTCGGCCAGGCCGGTTGCCAGATCGCAAACTCTTGCTGGGAGGTGAGTTGCACCCGACGACACGCGCTGCTGCTGCCGCATCCTGCTGTGCAGCAGAAGAAGGGGCTGCGGATAGCTCACCGCCAGTGCGCGATATACTGACTCGGCTTCGCAGCTCTACTGCCTCGAGCACGGCATCCAGCCCGATGGTTTCCTCACCGAGGAGCGCAAGGCCCTGAACGACGACCACGGCTTCAGCACCTTCTTCTCCGAGACCGGTACGCAGCTTTCGCCCGAGAGCGCCGTTCCGACTGCTAACACTGCGCAGGCCAGGGCAAGTATGTCCCCCGTACCATCTACGCCGATCTTGAGCCCAACGTCGTCGACGAGGTCCGCACCGGCCCTTACCGCTCCCTCTTCCACCCCGAGCAGATGATCACAGGCAAGGAGGATGCCTCGAACAACTACGCCCGTGGTCACTACACCGTCGGAAAGGAGCTCATCGACCAGGTCCTCGACAAGGTCCGCCGCGTCGCCGACAACTGCTCCGGTCTGCAAGGTTTCCTCGTCTTCCACTCCTTCGGTGGAGGAACTGGATCTGGTTTCGGCGCCCTGCTCATGGAGCGTCTGTCCGTCGACTACGGCAAGAAGTGCAAGCTCGAGTTCTGTGTCTACCCAGCGCCCCAGGTCGCCACATCGGTCGTCGAGCCATACAACTCCATCCTGACCACCCACACCACACTCGAGCACTCCGACTGCTCCTTCATGGTTGACAACGAGGCCATCTACGACATCTGCCGAAGGAACCTCGGTATCGAGCGCCCCAACTACGAGAACCTCAACCGTCTCATTGCCCAGGGTAAGCTGCCAGAGCCTGCTTAGAAATCCACTCTGCTAACCTGACTCAGTCGTCTCGTCCATCACCGCCTCCCTCCGATTCGACGGTTCCCTCAACGTCGACCTGAACGAGTTCCAGACCAACTTGGTCCCCTACCCTCGTATCCACTTCCCTCTCGTCGCCTATGCTCCCGTCATCTCCGCCGCCAAGGCCGCACACGAGGCCAACTCGGTCATGGAGATCACCAACGCCTGCTTCGAGCCCAACAACCAGATGGTCAAGTGCGATCCTCGCAACGGAAAGTACATGGCCACCTGCCTGTTGTACCGTGGTGACGTCGTCCCCAAGGACACCCACGCTGCCATTGCCCAGGTCAAGACCAAGCGCACCGTCCAGTTCGTCGACTGGTGCCCTACCGGTTTCAAGGTTGGTATCTGCTACCAGCCCCCCCAGATGGTCCCCAACGGTGACCTCGCCGCTGTCAACCGCGCTGTCTGCATGTTGTCCAACACCACGGCCATTAGCGAGGCCTGGTCTGCTCTCTCGCACAAGTTCGACCTCATGTACAGCAAGCGTGCCTTCGTCCACTGGTACGTTGGTGAGGGTATGGAGGAGGGTGAATTCTCCGAGGCTCGTGAAGATCTCGCTGCCTTAGAGCGCGATTACGAAGAGGTCGCAGCTGACTCCCTCGGGGATGATGAGGGTGTTGAGGCAGAGTACTAGACGGCTTGTTACCGTATTGTGTAGCGTGTTCAAGAGCAGTATGGCTCTACATTGTTGATTGGAAGGTGTCTTGTTCGAAGCCTCGCTTTTGAAGAGAGACAAGTACCAGATTGATAATGGCGGGCTACGGCGTTTACAAGGAGAGCTTCTAGCGTACCTTCTTCTCCATACATGAAGCGATTTGGGATCAATTGTCCTCTTTCTATGTTACTCCCTTTAGTAATGCCAATAAATTGTCAAGCGGCACTTTCCATGATTTCTCATCTTCCCATGGATCTAACATTTGATCAAGTATTTTAAGATGATTGATTGATCAGTAGACCCTTGCACAAGAAAAACATTAAACAGGCCTAAGGCCTACATGAAGATACAAACACGCAAAGGAGATAACCAACCGTTAACGTAGGCTCTAGGGCGTTCAATATTCTCCTCGAATCATGTAATATATTGAGCAGCGAACGCTCCCTGTGCTACCCAAATAAATCATCACTGCATCAAAGCAACGATTGCACAACATCTCTCATTTGACCCCAACCAACCTAGAAGTCGTCCTCATCGGCATCATCCCTAGCCAGCGCCTTCTTCTCGGCCAACTCTCTAATCTTCTCACCAAGCACCTCCCTCCCATACCTACTCGCCACCTTACCCGCCAAATCCAGCATCTTGCCATTGGCATCCCTCATCAAGCTAACGATCTCCAGCGCCTTCATCCCATGGTCCTCGCCCGCCAGACACTCCAACCCAAGC